GCATGGAGCTCAGAGCCAGCCGCGGCTAGCAAGCTTGGCTTCCTCCATCATTTGGGCAACCAAGTCTCCTGCTTGCTCCAGCTCCGTGGCTGCCAGCCACCATCTTGGTTGGGTTAATTTGCATATAGCCACTCTGATTGGCTGGTGGGTGTGGCTTAAGGCGTAGCAAAGGTACAGTCAATTTGCATGTTTCTCTTTTATTAGTGTAGATGTTTGATAAATCAAAGGTCTTATCTGAAGTCTATTTTAATTATGTACCATTGTCATTTTCAGATTTACCCTCCTTCATTAATTTCTTAAAATAATCATCTTATATCATTGAAACAAATCTTTTGGAATTATAAATCTATGCTTTCAACAAAAGATTGCTGCTTATATAAAACTTGAGTAACATTGCAATTTTGGATAAGAGAGTTAAATATTTGTAAAGGGTGTTTTCTTTAACATATGAAAAAGCAAAACATTCTGAAAAATATCTGGGGGAAAAAAGAAACACAGCTCTTATAAGGTTCTGGAAAATAGAATATCTACACTAATAAAAGAGAAAAATGGTACAGAACCAGTGATGGAGGGGGGGGGGTGGAATGAGGGTCCACTGCTACTTCATAACTGTAATTTTGCTATTGTTATGAATCTGTCAGAGGCGTCAGGCCTGGGCAAGGGGCCGATCCTGCGATTGGAGGGTGATGGGGGTCAACGCCTGAGGGCTCCCAGTATGTGAGAGGGGGCAGGCTGGGCTGAGGGACACTCCCCCCGACACACACACCCAGTGCACGAATTTCGTGCACCGGGCCCCTAGTAAGTATTATAAAAATACTCAGTAAGAAAAAAAGTTCATTATTTTCTTAGGAATTCTCAATTATGACCCAACAAAAGTAATCAATAATACTGCACTTCACACAAAACAATTCTTAGCACTTACAAAAACAGCAAAAGAACTATGTTTAAAGCATAAACACTGTAACATTTCAAATTATCCTTTTTCTAACCTACATTACGCTAGATGTTCAATATAAGTTATCAAAATATTTTTACCACATTACTAATTCCTTTTTTAACTTTGGGCACAAGGTAAAAACCAAGACTCAGTTACAATTACCCTTGACTAATCAGCACTAATTTATCTAGCAGCTTTCCAGAGAAGTAAGTTTGTTTTGAAAAAGCCCCCAAGAAGTTCTAATACTCAGCAAGGTTTAAAGATAACTGTTCTAGGCTGGCTTAAAATCTTGGATTCCAAATCTGAGGTCAAACTGTAACAATGAAAAATGATCCAGCAATAGGCACACTAAAGAATTTTGTAAACCATCTTCATGATTCCAGGTTTTCATGACAGATTTTAATCAAGGAAAAATGAGGACACCAATTACACTCTAAGTCAGTGATAGGAAGACTAGAATGGACCCTTTTGGGCAAAAATACATCATAAAGCCAGAAAAATCTAGTCATCAGAGAGCAAGATCTAAAACCACTAGTGGGTTTTTTCTTAAAGCATCAAATTTCATAATTAACAAAATGGTACAAGTATTTAAGACTTTACCATCATTTCTTGCTCAAAGCGCCGGAAGATTTGCTCTCGTTGCTGCTGCAGTTTGCTATTGAGCTGTTGTTGGGCTCTTTGCTCTTCTTTTTGAAGAAATCTTAATTCCCGAAGTTCCTGGCGTCTGAATAAAATGTCATAGTGATGATAGAGACAGAAAACAAAAGTTACACCTTTGAAATAATGCTTTTAGAAAAAAAAACTTTAAAAGTAATTTTTTTCAAACATAAAATAAAAGAATGGTCCAAAATTAGCCAAGTCTTTATTCCCTTCTCTAGTCTTCAGCCTCTGCAGAGACTAAAAAGAAGTCACAAAACCAGTTTTAATTATGTTGTTCTCTACTCACCTAAGAAACCTCAATTCTTCAGTTTTGGAATCACTATCTGTAACTATCTTAGATGTTGTTACACTCACTTCTACACCATCAACAATAAATTTGCGTGTTTTCTTCAATGTTTTCTTTTGTCTTCTTGTTTCCTGAGTGAGATTTTATTTTAGTTAGGCTTTATATGAGCAATACGAGATAGAAAGCATTTTTCTTCTTTAAAAAAAAAACTGAACAGACATTAAGACTACATATATAAAGAATACAAAGCAGTAAGACTCACATGTAGAACCAGTTACATCATCTTATACCTCATTTGACTTTCACATGACTTTACAGATGAAATTTAAATTTTTTTAAGTGAAAGTGACTTTTCATGATGTGCACGTATAATTTTTATGATACCACATCATAATCAGATAAGGATTCTTACAGTGGTAAGGATCAATTTACATAAGTGACTAATTAGTGTAACTTTTACATGTTAACCATTATTTTTTCTTCCTCTTTTCACCTTGTAGGTTCTCAGATACCTCTGCTTTCAGTTCTAGAACCACTGACAAAACAAAATTGAATTCCTGGGGCTCAGCCCTTAAAGACTCTAAATCAAAAGGGTTAAGGATAGCTGGGAATTTGTATTTTGAAAAGGCTCCCAGGTAATTTTGAAACACTGCCAGGACTAGGAATCAAAAGCTATTTCATCAGCAACAGTATCAACAGCTCTGCTCTCCATTTCAGGGCTGGAAATAAATGCGTGATTTTAGAGTTACTAGCAAAATAGCACCCTCTACTGCACCTCAAAAGAACCATATTTGCCCACTAGCTATTGCCTAGTATTCTTTTTTTTTTTCCAAACTAAAAGAGAAAGTTTATTTACAAAGATACAAAGGTAGTAGAAGTGAGCCAGTGGGCTGTTAAGCTCAGGAAACAAGTTACAGAGGCAGAGGGCCCTTGGAGCTTAGGACAGGGAAAGACAAAGGTAACATGCCTGGAGGGAAACCCGAGAGGGAGAGCTGCCTACCACTCTTATATTAATACCAAACTCTTGATTCCTCAACTGATATCCAAATGTTTTTTAAATGTAAACAAATAATAGAAGTATAACACTCCTACAAATACATAAACATGGTAAAAATATAAATATTGAGAGCAGATTATTACTAGGTTTTGATATGGGGGAAAGCTTAGAAAGCAGAGGGAGCAAAAGTAGAATGTGAAAATACTAAACTAAAAATGCATTAGAATTTTAAACTGTCTTTGTCACTTTCCAGTCACCTTTTTGCAATCCCTTTATTGTTCTATTCTCCAGGCTTCCAGTTTCCTCTCCTCCCCCTAAGCACCCTAACCAGGCTTCCTCTAAAATCTAAAGTGGGCTTGCCCCCAAAACAGATCTACATCCCCATAACCTCCAAACTTTCCATTTCTTCAGTTCCTACTAAAATATCCATAATTAACATGACCTTAATTCTCAAAATATTTGCATTTTTAAAAAATTAGCATATTTTTATAGTGTAACTTAAAAAGTTACCATACATAGTTACATTACTTAGCAAGTCAGTGAATGGACTTCTGATTAATAGAATTTCATCAGTGAAACAAAATAAACTGAAGACAATCTAGGCAAGGCGTAATAATCTGGGGCAGATAGGCAGGCTGATTAGTCATGCCCTAGTCTTGTCCCTAAGGTCAGTTTTTCTAAGTTGTTTCTGCTTTTCACAGTCTTGTCTTCTGCTACCTGTCAACCCAAACTCTTTGTCCACGGTTCACCTGCATCAAAATTCCATGGGGTCTTTTGTTAGAAATACTGATTCTTGGGCCCAAATCCATACTCCTGCATAGCTCCCCCCTGCTAAGTCTTAAGCACACTAATATTTAGGAGCTGCAAGTGTTCTGGGTTTTAGTTTTGTATGTTTTCCCACAATGGTTCTCATGGCAGTAGTGATGGCTATGACTGAGGAAGAAGCAACAGTGGTCATCTGTGTGGGCCAGTGGTAAATCAAGGACTGTTTACACCCTAAACGTGCTTTAAAAAAGATCATTCTTTCTCAATTTTCTCATATACTATTGATTCTTGCTAAAATAGTATCTACCTATGTACAGTAAGAGAACCCAAATCACACTAAGCAATAATATATACTGCTTATATCAAGTTGGCAAAAATAAGTAGGTACTACCAAAAAACTTAAAGGTCACATCCACAACTTCTCTCTTTGGTTCTGTTAATTGATTGCCTTTGTAGGCCTTAAGTATTTTATAGCAGTACTAAATACTACACTGATTTAGTGCTGCCTTATTTTCAAGACATCAGTTTCACATAAACTCTAAAACTGCCAAAATGACAAAGAAAAACCCAAACAAGGACTCATGTACACTTACTTGTAAAGATATTGATCCACTGTCTTTAGTTTTGCTTAGGAAGCTAGAGATAGATAAATTCAAGTCAATGCTGCTATTATCAGCAGTAGAACCAGTGCCTGAATCAGTATCATTTTCCTTTTGAATCTCAGATTCTGGTAGCAACATGGTTTCAATTTTTGATAAAGCACCTATTTCCCCTTTATTTTCTGCACCATCAGAGTTGATATTAATACTAGGTATTGGAACAGGCTGAGGTTCAATGGGCTGTGAAGTGGCAGTAACGTCAGGTTCTGTTTTAATTGGCACTTCACATGGAATCTCTTTTTGCTCTGATTCTGTCAGAGTAGTGGCTTCATGAGCATCCTGTGTTTCACTTCCTGAAGGCTTTTCGTCAGTATGAATCACTGCACTTCTGACTTCTATTTTTTCAGTGCTACTTGACTCAGTAATTTCAACTTCATTTGTCCTGGGTTCCTCAGTGGTCTCCACTATGTTCTCAGAACTGCTGATTAACTGTTTCTCGCCTTTGCCTTCTATAGATTTTTGATCTATCTCATTAGTTTCAACTATTTCTCTAAGAGAAACTTCCTCAGTACCACCAACCTCAGGACCCTCCATGGGTCTACTTGCTAATTCCTGACCTGCTTCAACCATTTCTTTCCCATCATTACTCTGAGCGTCCTTAGCTTTGTTTTCAACTGCCTTTTGAGCAACATCTATGACCTCACTTGTTCCTATTGCATTACTTGTATCACTGATCACATCTTTCTTCATTTTCTCATCTTTTCCCAAATTCTCTTGGGTGTCTTCTTTTGTAAGCTCAACTTCACTGTCAACTGTTTGAATATCTGCCTCTTTTTCTCCAGTCTCTTGAGAAACTAAATCCATTGTTTGAATAGTAGTATCTTTAATTTCTTCTTCAGATTTTATAACCTTATTTTCAAATATCTGTTGCTTTTCCTGATCCCTTTCTTCCTCAGGTTTCAGACTCTGTTCAATATTTGTTTCTTCAGTTATCATATTACTCTCTTTTCCTTCGTTGGTTGACTTCATGTCTACTCTTTCTTGGTCTTCTGTGTCAGGCAGATTTTCAAGTTTGGGTCTCTTCTCCTCTCTCCCATTTTCCTTGATTATTATTGTTCTAGTATGGAGTTCATCCATAGCTCCTAAATGTTCATCTATACCCTCCACAGCTTTTCCAGGCTCTTCAGCAGTAGGTTTTTCATTAAGAACTCTACTGTTAAATTTATCTTCAGGAGTATTACGTTCTGTTTTTTCTGAGACAGATTCCAAAATACAAGCATTTTGTGAAAGTTTATCTTCTTCAGAGCTGGCAATGCTGAGGTCAGAGGAGGCACGCTTACTTGCAGGTATTGGCTGAAAAGATTTTATATATTTTTAGTGTTAAAACAAGATGGTAACCAAAACAACATTTTACTTTTTTATGTATTTATATTTTAAAGTTATTTACTTCATATATAATGATTTAGTATATTTATCCAGTAAAACTGATGAAGTTATAAAAGTAGTTTAAAGAACTGACAAATCTTCACATAATACATATGACAAAGATGGATAGCAAGAGTAAACTTGCTATTAATCTTCACCTCTAAAATTAAAGGTTTGTACTGCTACTCATCAATTAATCCTTAAATACAGGTATAATCATACCTCAAAACCCAACTCTAAAAATTACCTAAATAAAATTTCCTTTCTATTATACTGACCAGAGAATTTTCTGTTTCTTCATCCTCCTCTTCCTCTTTACCATCTTCAACTTCTTCTGTTACTTCAGCCTTTGCCTCTGCAATCAATTCTCGAACTGGTTTGTTGGAATCCACAGTAACAAAAGGATGCTGTTAAATCATTAAAAAAAGCATGCTCAATAACATCTGAAATGCTTGCTCATAAAGTAAATTTCAAAACATAAAACACATTATTATATGGTAAAAATATAAACACATAGGTAGGAAAAATACAAACACTATCAAGTAATATTACATTTAGGAAAGAAGAAGGTAAAGGGGATTGAACAGGGGCCTGCAACCCCTACTTGTACCTTTTTAAAGAATCTGAAGGAAATATGTCAAAAATAATGACATTATATCTGTAAGTACACCTACTTTTGTGTATGTTTGAAAATCTTGCAATATAAAAATTAAATTAAAATTTAAAGTACGTTCAAGTTAATTGTACAATACCAGTTCTTAAAAAGTAGCAATACATATAAATCCAGTTTAAAGCCTCAATAAAATAACAAAAATTTTAAAGTTAAAAGTGTCTACAAACACCTGCTTTTTTGACATGGTTCTAATATTCTTTTTTATTTATTTAAATTCTTTATTGTTTAAAGTATTACAAAAGTCCCCTTTTTCCCCCATTGACCTCTCCCCAGCCGCTCCCACACCCCAGCACATGCCCTCACCCCAATACTGTCTGTGTCTACTGGTTATGCTCATGGTTCTAATATTCTTAAGAGTAAGAAGACACTTTATTATCTCTGTGTACTTGGCACTTAACAGTGTCTGTCACAGACTAAGGCTTTCAAATGTGGAGGTAGTAAAATAATAAAAGTAAGTGTGTCCCAGGGAATTCTTATTGCTTCCCCACTCCCACCACATAAATACTTATAACTAACTTTTCCTATAACTCAACCTAACAGTAAGTGCCTCAATATTTGCCATTCTTTTTGTTCCCCTGTAATACTAATTATTTCACTAAGTTTTATTTCAATATTATAAACAGGTCCTGCTATAAATCAAAATTATCCAATCACTTTAACACTATTTTAACAACATTTACCCTCAAGAGAGATGAGAAACAAAATGGAAGCAACTAACAAAGTGGAAATAACTAACAAAATGAAAGAACACAAACTCAATCAAAAAAAGCACAGAAGGAATGACTTATAAGTTAAATACCTTTTAGCAATGGCAGCACCTATATGTTGGTAAAATAAATGTTAACTACTATAATGTATTTTGAGTTTCCACAAGGAAACTCAAGTGGAAAAAGAGCACAATGAATGAATCTTATCTTACCTGTAGTAGCTGAGATGTTGTCCACCTGGAATCCACATTTTTTTCCAAGCATTTCTTTAGAAAGTCCTTAAAATTCGAAGACCTTCAAAATAAAATTTTAATGACATTCTATTTTACTTTCATGTTATTAAAATCAAACAAAACTCTAATAAATTAAGTTTCATTATGTATGCAATAGTATTCAACATAAAAAACTAGTTAATGAGAATATTAAGATTTTATTAGTTATCTATAATAAAAGCATAATATGCTAATTAGACCAGACAGCTGAACGACCTTCTGGATGTCATTCCAGATGAAGCCGCATCAACAGGGGACAAGACCGAGGCAGTTAGGGGTGATCAGGCAGGCAGGCAAGCATTAGGGACAATCAGGCCAGCAGGCAAGTGGTTAGGGGCTCTCGGGCAGGCAGGCAGAGTGGTTAGGGGTGATCAGGTAGACAGGCAGGCGAGAGGTTAGGAGCCAGTGGTCCCAGATTGTGAGAGGGATGTCGAGCCTAATATGCTAAATGTCCGACTGTTCATTTGATCTTTGGACTAGTCACTATTATGTGCACTGACCACCAGGGGGAAGACGTTCCTGACCAGCAGGTGTTTAGGCCCACAGGATCGGACATCCCCCAAGGGGTCCCAGAATGGAGAGGGTGCAGACCAGGCTGAGGAAAACCACCCCCCCCCAACCCCGTGCATGATTTTCGTGCACTGGGCCTCTAGTTTATTTTTAAATACAATTCAGACATGTAAGTAAGTAGATTCAAAGTTTTAACCAATGAGATATAACCATATATTCACAAGTATGCCAAGTCACAAAAATTCTTCTATATTAAATCCCACAAATATAGATCAAACAGATATATGCCTCACTTTCGCATAGTACAGAAAATACTATTTTCGTGTAGAACTCAAGTCACTGGTATCTTCCAATTTATAGGAAAAGCCCTGGCCAGTGTGGTTCAGCTGGTTGAAGAGTAGTCTTGGCAACTGAAGGTCATAGGTTTGATTCCTAACTTAGGTCATGGCACATACCTAAGTTGTGGGTTTGATCCACTGTCAATGTGACTCTCTCACATCGATGTTTCTTTCTTTATCTCTTCCTCTCTCTCATCTTCCTTCCCTCTCTAAAATTGATTTTTTTTATTTTTTTTTATTTTTTTTTTAAATATATTTTTTTTATTCAAGTAACATATTTTCTAATTTCTCTTAGGACTTCTTCCAGGTACATGCCCTTGACCGGAATCGAACCTGGGACCTTTCAGTCCGCAGGCCGACGCTCTATCCACTGAGCCAAACCGGTTTCGGCTAAAATTGATTTTTTTAAAAGTAATGGGACCCTAGCCAGTTTTGCTCAGTGGATAGAGCCAAAGGGTCCCAAGTTCAATTCTAGTCAGGGGCTCATACCTCAGTTGCAGGAACCTGCCCCACCCAGCCCGTTCAGGGCATGTGCAGGCAACCAATGGATGTGTTTCTCTGACAATGACATTTCTCTCTGTCCTTCCCTCTCTCTTTCACTCTAATAAATCAATGGAAAAATATCCTCAGGTGAGGATTAAAAAAAAAAAAAGTTATGGGAAAAGTCAGTTATAGGAGTTTAAATGGTCCTTAAGTCTTGAAATTATACCAAAAATCAGTTTTCTACTTCACATAGTCTTTGTACCATGAATTTAAATATTCTTTGAAAGTTGGAAGAATAAAGCGTCAAGTTTTGCTTCTTAAAAAACTTTGTTTAGAATATTTTACCATTTTGATGGTTGTGCTAATGTAGGAGGCTCAGATTTTGCTATTTTTAGCAGCACTCGCATTGGGTTTAATTCATGATGTGGTGGTTCTATCTCAGCCATTTCTATTAAAGTAATACCCAGGGACCAAACATCAGCTTTGTAGTCATAGGGTCTGTCCTTCGATGTTTCACACATGACTACCTCAGGAGCCATCCTATGAAAACAGAAAATTGAAAGTTAAGATGTTTAACTTAAGAATAGTGATTGCAACCCTCATAAAAGAGAGACAGGATCACTAATTACATGAACAAATTAGTGAGTATAATAACTGCTGGCATAACTAATCTGTAAATCCATAAAAATGAATACATACCAATATGGTGTGCCAATAAAGGAATCTCTTCTTTGAATTGTCCTTGTGTTTTTAGCTGATACTCCAAAATCCGCTTGAAATAAATAATTATACAGAAGTGTTAATGATAGTTGTTTAAGCAAAGTTCCCTGTAGTCAATGAAGTTTGGGAAAGCATATCAAGTCCTTCATAAGGCCATTCTTGTTAAAGGGTAAGAAAAATAACTTCTCTACCATCCTAATTTTGACCACCCTCTTCCTATCACACCTACTCACCAAAAATGATGCAGAAAAGATTCCATCATTAACACACTTAATACTGCCATCTTTATACATCTTCAGATCACAAATTCTCCAGAATTAAAGAACAAGATTATAACTTTAAAACAGACCAGTCTATCCACTTCAAAACAAATGTCAACTAGTGCTATATTGTAATTGAATCAATAGATATAAACATTTTTCTATAGTGTGAAAAACAGAAATTATACCAAAGCAGCCTTTATGACAGCATATGGCTTGCTAACTTCCTCAGAAAATTATATTACAAAGAAAAAAATTAGGAACCATGTTTTCTGATTTAAATTATAGAGCACAGAGGAGATTAAAAATGGCGGCAGAGTAAGTGGATGCTACTACACAGACATGTTCTGAGAACCAAACTAGAATTACAACTAAAATACAAAAAACAAACAAACAAAAAAACCCTGAATAATCAACTGAAGACTAGCTGGAGAGAACCCTAATAACCAAGGATGGAAAGTGGAGACTGTATAGAGATTGAGAGAGAGGAAGGGATAGAGAAAAAAAACATCGAAATGAGAGTGTAACATCAATCAGTGCCTCCTGCACGCTCCCTACAGGTGTCGAACCAACAACCCAAGCATGTGCCCTGACCAGGAATCCAACCAGCAACCTTTTAGGACATGCACAACCAACTGAGCCACACCAGCCAGAGCTGTATCTATAATTTTGGTAGATATTGCCAAATTGCTTACCCCTTCCCTTGTGGTAGGCAAAATAATGGTCCCCAAAGTTGTCCAAATCCTTATCCTCTAAACTGAGTACATCACAGCACTTCACATAAGGGATTTTGCAGATGTGATTAATCAAGACAGGGAAATTATCCTGAATTATCCAGGTGTGTCACTGAGATCCCAAGGTTCCTTATAAGAAGGAAAGGAGGTTCTGAATCAGAGAAAGAGAAGATGCTAGGTTTGAAGATGGAGGATGGACCATGAGCCAAAGAATGCAGGCAGCCTCCAGAAGCTTTTGCTAAAGAAATGGATAATCCCTTGGAGTCTCTAAAAGGAATGCAGCCCCGCCAACACCTTAACATTAGGACTTCTGACCTTCAGAACTGTAAGAGAATAAATAAATAAATAAATAATATAGATACAGAGGCAGAGCTGACTCAAACAGATTGTCAAACTGCAGCAGGAAGGCCAGGGAGGGTTGGGGGGCAGGAGGGAGGGGGGTAAGAGATCAACTGAAGGACATGTATGCATGCATATAAGCATAACCAATGGACATAAGACACTGGGGGGTATGGGAGGCTAGGGGAATGTCAAGAAGGGGGGAAAAGGAGACATACATAATACCCTTTGTAATACTTAATAAATAAATAAATAATGTTTAGAGAACAGCAACAATATAAAGCCATTGTTAAACACCATCTTTTTAAGTTTACAGATCAACCATTAATAGTAACATAAAACTGCTACTGCTGCCTAAATTACCTCATACCATACATATATCTCTTTTTCAAGGTTTCATGTTTGACATACCACAATTCTCAAAATTAAATATCAAAATCCAGCATTTAGTACTTATGCCCCAAGGCCTGGCACAGTAAATAGCTACTATTATTAACCACTAGAGGCCCAGTGCACGAAATTCATGCACGGGGGGGGGGGGTCCCCTCAGACAGCTTGCCCCCTCTCCAATCTCAGACCCCTCAGGGGATGTCCGACTGCCGGTTCAGGCCCGATCCCTCTCACAATCCTGGACCGCTGGCTCCTAATCGCTCACCTGCCTGCCTGCCTGGTCGCCCACGCAGCCTACTTGTTCAGTTGTTTGATCTTCTCTCACTAACCCCCCTGCCAGCCTGGTCATAGGCAGCCATCTTGTGAGGGCATGACAATCAATTTGTATATTACCTATTTATTATATAGGATATCTATAATTCTAATTTTTGTGATATTTTGTTGATAGAACTTAAAACTCATTAAGTCCTGCTTTGTAATCTAATTATTTGTGTTTATTATATGGTTCTCTCTCTTTTTTTTTTTTGACCATGTAGTTCTCCTGCGTAAACATAAATAAGCAGCTACCTATTGCCTGTGGAATGAAGTTCAAGCTTCCTAATGTAGTGTACAAAATCTTTCATTACATTAAATTTAATTAATGTTTTATAATTAAATTAATAAATGAGTAAGCAAACAGAACATATTATACTTGGAATATATTATTTACAGAAGATACAATATAGAATTATTCAGAACTCCTCATCCCTATTACCACCCCCCACCTCCTCTACTTATAAGCTTCTCTTATATTCCTGGAGGAAGGAGTTGAGATCACAATATGAAATTCTGCCAGAAGAGGTTCTGGACTCAGGTAAAGTCAGCTCAGTAATTATTCCATTGTTTTCCTAAAACCTATTAACACTGTTCTTTTTAACTCTCTCCCCTATGAACATGACTGAGGAAGGGGGTCCAGAAACAGGCCTAAACAACAACTGTTTACTGTCAACATGCATACCTCTCCAAGCACTCTAATGAACAGGAGGTACAAAAGACATCTTTGTTTTTTCTGTGCAAAGGGATAAATTAAATTTGCTATGTGCTTCATATTTCTACTTATAATGATGTGGCATATACACACTAGTCCAGGGGTGGCAAACTTTTTGACTCGAGGGCCACAATGGGTTCTTAAACTGGACCGGAGGGCAGGAACAAAAGCATGGATGGAGTGTTTGTGTGAACTAATATAAATTCAAAGTAAACATCATTACATAAAAGGGTACGGTCTTTTTTTTTTTTTAGTTTTATTCATTTCAAACGGGCCAGATCCGGCCCGCGGGCCGTAGTTTGCCCACGGCTGCACTAGTCTGTTAAAATAGCATTTTACATACTTATTTTCATTTGCAATTATGTGTGCCCAGTAAGATCATAAAAATTGGGGTATTATAATATGGTTCTTGAGGACAGTATAATTCTATACTTCTTCATATATTGAACAGGGTATAAAAGAAATGGAAGGTTCTCTGTATTTTCAAATTAATTAAACAGAAATTGAAACTATTTTTAATGTCAACCAACTCAAAACTATTTGGCATTCCTAAATCTTCAAAAACATACTTATTTTTTAAAGTATACATTATTTTACACAACAGTATATTCTTATATTCAAATAAGGTTTTAATACATTTACAGAAAAACAATCACCAAAAATGAATCAAAATTATAACATAACTATTTCAAAATGAGCTACGAGACTTCAAAAAATGATGTAAGACAATCCTAGCTGGGTGGCTCAATTGGTTGGAGCGTTGTCCTGTGCCCCAGAAGGTTGTGGGTTTGATTCCCGGTCAGGAAGGCAACCCGTCGCTGTTTCTCTCTCACGTGATATTTCTCTCTCTCTTCCCCTCTCTCTAATAATCAGTACGCATGCCTGGGGTGGTGATTTAAAAAAAAAGGATGTTTTTAAGTTAACTTTCATGCATTCATCCATTATCTATCCATCCATCCCAATTCCTCTCTATTAAAAAAAAAAATCAAGCGCTAGACCAATGATGGCAAACCTTTTGAGCTCAGCGTGTCAGCATTTTGAAAAACCTTAACTTAATTCTGGTGCCGTGTCACATATAGAAATTTCTTGATATTTGCAACTATAGTAAAACAAAGACTTATATTTTTGATATTTATTTTATATATTTAAATGCCATTTAACAAAGAAAAATCAACCAAAAAAATGAGTTCGCGTGTCATAGGTTCGCCATCACTGCCCTATACGGTTTGGCTCTGTGGGTAGAGCGTTGGCCTGAGAACTGAAAGGTCCCAGGTTTGATTCTGGTCAAGGGGACATGCCCAGGTTGTGGGCTTGATCTCCAGTGGGGGACTTGTGGGAGGCAGCCAATCAATGATTCTCTCTCATCATGGATGTTTCTACCTCTCTCCCTCTTCCTTCCTCTCTGAAATCAATAAAAATATATATTTTTTAAATCAATAAAATATATCCTTAAGTGAGGTAAAACATAAAAGAATAATATTAAGTCAGAATTACAAAAACTCAGAAATGAGGTGGCAAAACTTGAGAAAATTAGAAATAAAAAATCATTTAGAAAAAAAGACTAAATTAAGAGGAATGCAATAGCAGATAAACAAATTCATACCCATTACCACTCCACACCCGTAACAAATATTAGCAAGGACATGGAGAAATTGGAATCCTTGTGCATTGCTGATATGAACGTAAAATGGTGCAACTACTATAGAAAATTATATGGTAGTTCCTCAAAAAAAATTAGCACAGAATCACCATATAATCCAGCAATTCCACTTTTGGAATACCCAAAAGAATTGAAATCAAGGACTCAAACAGGTATTTGTACACCCATGTCCATAGAAGCATTATTCACAAGAGCCAAAAGGTAGAAGCAACCAAAGTGTCCATCAATGGATGAAAGGATAAACCAAATGGTATATACTAGTGGTATATACTAGTACATATAAGAAAATACTATTTAGCTTTTTAAAGGAAGGAAATAAACACACGCTACAAAATAGATGAACCTTGAAGACATGCTAAGTAAAATAAGCCAGACATGAAAGGACAAATATTGTCTGATTCCATTTATATGAGGTACCTAGAGTTGTCAAATTCATAGAAAGAAAAAGTTAACAGTGGTTGCCAGAGGTTGTTGGGGAGAGAGCAATGAGGAGCTAATGTTTAAAGAGTTTCAGTTGGAGAAGATGAAAAGTTTTGGATAGTACTGATAGTTGTACAACAATGTGAATGAACTTAATGGTACAGAATTGTACACTTAAAAATGGTTAAATGGTAAATTTTGTTAAGTATATTTCACCATAATAAAAAAATGAAGAAAGATAAAAAGCACAAATTCAAATGTCTTATTTAAGGAACTAAACTTACCCAACTTAATATCTCCATCTAGGGTAAAAAGAATGTTGCCAGCCTTTAGATCTCTGTGGATGATTTTATTATCATGTAAGTAGTTCAATGCCTCTAAGGTCTGTTTACAAACTACTTGTATTTGGGACTCAGTTAATGGTCGCTCAAGTTCTGTAAGGAAAAAGTAAACAAATCTGCATTTTTACACAGTGAAAACATGTCAGCAGGCTCTTACTTTTACCATCATTGGCAAGGATCTTATACAGTGAATTTATTTTAGAAGAACTGAATATCTACAAGATTACTTTCCTCACATATTAAACTCATCATTTAACTTTAGAATTTTATTACAATTGTCTAAGAATATAAAAATATAATTAAGCTGATTTCTTAACTGATTGAACTTCACCTAACAATAAGACATATGTATAAATGTTTGAAATCCATCAGTTTTTATTAAGTGTAATTTAAGATATGAACATAAAGGAAAAAAGGTATTTACCAAGCATCACAGCATCCACTGCTCCACCTGCACAAAATTCAATGAGGATCTGCAGGCAAATAAAAAACATGTGTTTAATACAGCATTGAGTTTGAGTATTTTTTCTTCAATTTAGCAAAAGGAATAAAAAAATAACTGTCCAATTAACTGGACTATGGAAATAATATTATGCTAACCATAAAAGTGTTAAAAGTGTTGAGTCTTAATGATAACCATTTGAGAAAGCACACAGAGAATACATTCTGGAAGTATGTGCTTTTTTGTTAATCACCATTTTTAGCGTGTCTGCTTCTCTAAAATAACCAGGCATAGAATTTTTCTTCAGGATAGTATTTTTTTAATTTATTGATTTGAGAGATAGAGAGAGAGAGAGAGAGTGAGAGAGAGAAACATGGACCCACTTTTCCACCCATTTATGCATTCACTGGTTGTCTTTTGTGTGTGCCTTGACTGCGGATCAAACCCGCTATCTTAACGTATAGGGACAACACTCTAACTGAGCAACCCAGCCAGGGCCAGGTAGTATTATATATCCATTTCATCACTACTGAATGGTTTTATTATTTTCATTTTTAAGATAACTATTGTGATTTAAGTGATCAAATGTAGTATTTGTAGCTTTACTAATAGGAATAAATCCGAAAAAAATAGAGACTTCTTTAAGTTAAAAAAAACAAAACACGATATACACAGAACCTTCAGATCCTAGCTCAATTATCACTTCCTGATGGATGCCTTCCCAGACCTCCCTGGTACATACCAACACATACCTTCCTTCTTAACCCTTATCACAGTTGTAATTTTGACTATGTTGCTTTGGTTAATTAATGTCTACCTCTCCCACTAACCTGTCCCTTCACAGTTGTCCAACTTTTTATTTTATAATAGTGTTGAATAAATATCTTATCTCTTTATTAAATTATCTAAGAGTTCATTTTTATTATAATCTCTGGAAACATTTTTTAAGAGACCTGATCAGCTACATTAAAAGATATCACAGTAATAATAACTATAACTTTTTTAAATTACAAATATTAACAAATTACATACCTGTTTTGTTTTCCCTCTATATAACAACAGTAACAATTTATTTTTCACAGATGCTTGCCAATTACAAATTGTTTTTAAATGCATTATATCATTTAAAAAATAATTTGGGAGGTAGGTCATTAACTCATCCTATAATGAGTACACAGACTCATAAAAGTTAATTGATTTATTTAAGCTCCTAGAAACACCAGGATCGAAAAATATAGGCCTTTGATTCCTAGTCAGGTATTACTTGTACTACCTACTCTTCTGTCATAACAGTTTGCTTCTTCCTTCAAGGAGAAAAACTCCATTTCAAAAACCCCTCTTGATTAAATTAGTGTTGGTGCAGAGCAAGAGACTGGTTACTATAATAAACATTAATTTTTATATCTATTTGTGTAATATTTTCTAAAAATGAACAATTTATCCATATAGCCTGATCCACTTATATCATGTACTAAAGCTGGGCCTGATTTTATAAGATAAATATTTAGCATTTCTAGTAAGCATTTTATAATTTATTACATGATTTAGAAAAAATTTAGGGTAATAAAATTATAAACAAAAGAAGTTTTTAAAATTTTTAAGTAAATGCTAAGATTTAAAAAAATGAGAGAAGGCTATCTAATTTCATAGTTTAGGAAATTTAATATTCTAGCTAAATTTCTCCATTTGGGTCCAATGTCAAAAAATCATTAAATATGGTACAATCTGAAATACATATCTGAATATACGGGTGGGCAAAGTAGGTTTACAGTTGTGAGTAGCAAAACACAGAGTTAATAAAGCTATTGTAATAATCATAACTTTCATGTCTTTTTCCATATGAGTAAATGTAAACCTGCTTTTGCCCACCCCTGTATCTGTTGAAGGGTAATTGTGTTGTCAATGACCCTCTCATCCGCAGATAACTCTCAAGACAAGTAACTAAACAAAAGAGGTTAAATACAAAATAGGCTTTCAAAACTTATGAACCTCTTTAGGACAATTAATTCATTTTGACTACTCCTACAGATCAACAGAAAATACTTACCCAAAGATTGTTCTCATAATAGAAGGCATCTAGAAGTTTGACTATATTTGGGTGATCACAAGATGCTAAAATATCAATTTCAACCATGTAATCTTCAAGTTCTTCTTCAGATTTGGTGTCAATCACCTTTGCAGCAGCTAAAACGTTGGTCTCTTTATTCTGGGCCTAAAAATGTAAGATCAAAAATATCCCAATGCATACTTGTTTATTTTTAATAAACTTCATTTTTTAGAATAGTTTTAGATTCACAGCAAAGTTGAGCAGAAAGTACAAAGTTTCCATATACTCCCTGCTTCTACACATGCAGAGCCTCCCACACTATCAAGATTCTGCACCAGAATGGTACATCTGTTACAATTAATGGCCTCTTGACACACCATTATCACTCATGGACCACTGTTTACATTTGGTGTACATTCAATCGATTTTGACAAATGTTATGACATGTGTCTACCACTATATTATACAAAATAATTTCACTGCCTTAAAAATCCTCTATACATTACCTATTCATCCCTCCCTTCTTCATAATCCCTGGCAGCCACTGATCTTTCACTCCATAGTTTTGCTTTTCCAGAATGTCATCTTGTTGGAATCACATAGTATATAGCCTTTCAGATTGGCTTCTTTCACTTAGTGCCATACATTTAAGGTTCCTCCATGTCTTTTCATGGTCTGACAACTCATTTCTTTTTAGCACTAAATAATAGTTCATTACATAGATGTGCGAATTTATCCATTCACCTACTGAAAGCATCTTGGTTATTTCCAAGTTTCAGCAATTATGAATAAAGCTGCTACAAACATACATGTGCTGGTTTTTGTGTGGACATAAGTTTTCAACCCCTTTGGGTAAATACCAAGGAGCACAATTACTGGATCATATGGTAAAAATGTTTAGTTGTGTAAGAAACTGCCAAACTGTCTCCCATTTTTCACTCCCACCAGCAATGAATGAGAGTTCCTACTGTGCCACATTCTTGACAGCATTTTGTGTTGTCAATGTTTTGGATTTTCACCATTCTAACATGGGTGTATAGTGGTATCTACTTGTTTTAATGACATATGGTATTGAGCATCTTTTAATGTATTCACTGACCATCTGTAAATCTTTGGTGAGATGTCTGCCCAGATCTTTTGCCCATTTTTAATTAGATTGTTGGTTTTCTAATGGTTAAATTTTAAGAGTTCTTTATATATTTGAATAGTAGGTTATCAGATATATTTTGTAAATATTTTCTCCCATTAGTGGCTTGTCTCTATTTTTACCCTAGAGGCCCAGTGCATGAAATTCATGCTCTTGGGGGTGGAGAGGGTTCCTCAGCCCAGCCTGTGCCCTCTCACAGTCTGAGAACCCTCACTCTGAGGTTTAGAATAAAAAAATTCTTGCAAAAGAACAAGGAACCCAAACTATGGGTGAGAGCTTCCCTGGATCCACTGTGATTCCAAGAAGTAGAGGTGAAATCAGCGAGGAGGCGCATAGAGAAACACGCATCTGCAGGGACTCCCTCTGCATGAGGAGAGAGGACAGACTCCTACTGTGAGGAGCCCCAGCAGCTCCTGTCTCCTCTCCACTGGGCAGGAGAGGTAGGAGAGGCTTCTACCACCACCGCTGTGCTTGCCAGCCATGAGCCCAGCTTCTGGCTGAGTGGCGCTCCCCCTGTGGGAACACACTGACCACCTGGAGGCAGCTCCTGCGTTGAGTATCTGCCCCCTGGTGGTCAGTGCTCATAATAGCGACCAGTCATTCCACTGTTTGGTCAATTTGCATATTAGCCTTTTATTATATAGGATGCTTATTTTGGAAAGATAGCCTAAACATAAATATTAATTAATGCATGCTATGCACCATGCTAAGTGCATATCTTAATCTAATTAGGTTTTTTAAAAAACATTTCAATATTATATGTATTCATTTCAGCAAAACTAAATATATTACTTAAAAAAAACAGAAAAGATTACCAAACTTTTAAAAGCTACTAATAAGTGTCTCAAATTATAAATAAAAGTCCAAATCCCACTTTTAAGAATTGATCATAAGGAGGTAATTTTATAAAATAAAAAATATGCATGTGTAAAAATATTCATCACAGTATTATTTACAGTAAGAAAAATGAATCAACCTAAATGTCCATTCACAAGAACCTGCTTAAATTATTCAATATAACTCTACAATGAGACATTACACAGCCAAAATGAATTGACTAACAATTAATATTTCTTAAGATGGAATAATAGCCATAAGACATCAGTGACTGAGAAAAAAACACAACTTATTAAACATGAGAGATATGTAATTTTACAGAAACTACACATCTATTTTCACATATGGATAGCTTCATAAATATCTAGAAAGACTTCATTAGTGAGGATGGTGGAATTTCAGGTGCTTTTGACTTTTTCTGCATTTCATACCATATTGTTTGAACTTTTAAAAATGAACATGTATTATTTTTACAGAAGTCATAAAGCATTTTAAAATCAGTATGTAGGAGATTTCTTAGTGATCTATTATCTAATCTTGGCAATAATGAAGAAAAGAATAAGCAAAACAGGTATCAGCCTGTATTTGGGAATTTTTTGTCAAAAGAAAAATTCTGTATGTCCTAAATTAAATTACAGTGGACAGGAGAGTCAGAGAAAGAAATTGGAACAATTAACCAGCTAATAGTTGTGGGCCAACTAACTAAAGAGTGCTCTCACTCCTGAATATGTGTTGGAGCTCTAAATCAATCTCCAGAGTCTACTAGCCAACCACTAGCAAGTATGCATGAACTTTCAGGACTGCTGCCAGTAACTAAACAACACAAGTAAATATTTCTTCCTTATAGATTGTGTAACTATCACAAAATTGCCCCCAGTTCACCTTTTCCCACCCTCCCTTACCTGTAGCCAATGTATATTCTTTCAAAACAACTTACATCTTTCTTCCCCAAAACAGAATGTACACAAGCGCCCATCAATGCCAGTACTAACATGCTAACTTTTCCATCTAGCCACATTACCGGTGGTTTAGACTTCATGCCTCAAAGCCCGGTCCTTTCCAGGCTAACACTTGGCTCATTAAAACCTTTCTTTCAAGAAACATTTAGCTGTGAACTCTTTTGTTTAACATTTTCTAAGTACATTATTGCTACGTTTTACTTTCTTAGAAAAAAATAGGGGCAAAAATACTAATTACTAATTAAGTAACCCTAATGTTTAGGATTCAAATAATACGTTTTGTACAAAAGACTTCAGCCCTAGCCCTAGTCGGCTTGGCTCAATGGATAGAGTGTCAGCCTGCGGACTGAAGGGTCCCAGGTTCGATTCTGGCCAAGGGCACATGCCTGGGTTGTGGGCTCGATCCCCAGTAGGGAGGTGCAGGAGGCAGCCGATCAATGATTCTCTCTCATCATTGATGTTTCTATCTCTCTCCTCCCTTTCTCTCTGAAATCAATAAAGAAATTTTTTTTAAAAAAAAGACTTCAGCCTTAGCTGGTTTGACTCAGCCATAGCTGGACAGGCTCAGTGGATAGAGAGCTGGCTTGCGGACTAAAGGGTCCTGGATTCGATTACGGTCAAGGGCACATGCTGGGGTTGCAAGCTCGATCCCCAGTGGGGGTGTGCAGAAAGCAGACAATCAATGATTCTCTCTCATCATTGATGTTGCTATCTCTCTCTCCTCTCTCCCTTCCTCTCTGAAATCAATAAAAATATTTCTTTTTTAAAAAAACTTCATACTGATTTACAATCTAGAACAGCCGTGGGCAAACTATGGCCCGCGGGCCGGATTCGGCCCATTTGAAATGAATAAAACTAAAAAAAAAAAAGACCGTACCCTTTTATGTAATGATGTTTACTTTGAATTTATATTAGTTCCGGGTTGGATCCGCCCGTTTGAAATGAATAAAACTAAAAAAAAAAAAAGACCGTACCCTTTTATGTAATGATGTTTACTTTGAATTTATATTAGTTCACACAAACACTCCATCCATGCTTTTGTTCCAGCCCTCCGGTCCAGTTTAAGAACCCATTGTGGCCCTCGAGTCAAAAAGTTTGCCACCCCTGATCTAGAAGAATATTCTCAGCTATCATATTTTAACAAATCTCCAATGTCTTTTAAGATATCTTTTTTTTAAATATATATTTTATTGATTTTTTACAGAGAGGAAGGGAGAGGGATAGAGAGTAAGAAACATCGATCAGCTGCCTCCTGCACACTCCCTACTGGGGATGGGATGTGCCTGCAACCAAGGTACATGCCCTTGACCGGAAATGAACCTGGGACCCTTCAGTCCACAGGCCAATGCTCTATCCACTGAGCCAAACCGGTCAGGGTGCTTTTAAGATATCTTATCTTATATTTCACTAAGGAAGAAAAACTTCCAATTAAACTATATCAACACTTTTTCATTTAGAATTTTTATATTATACCTTTTTTAAGAACTTTTGGACATATTTAGACAAAAATTGTTACTGTATATCTATTATTCTGGTTCATATATAATTAAATACTTCATATATTGAAGTTTTACTCTTTTGAATCACTTATTCACTGAGTTATCTAATGTCCACACAATATCATTCTCTGGCCATTAAATTAATTACTATCTCCAAAATTTTATTTGAAGTCACTGTCTCCCATTTTGCAATTATAATGATACTACTTTGTTTATCTTACCACAGGTGCTAAAAGATTTTTAGGTAACAACCAGGATTTTTTCTTCAAAAGGTCCTTAAATAGTTTATTAATTGAACATCAAGGGCTTGCAACTAACACCAGTGATACAACTAAGTTCAATGACAGATATAACATGACCCCTATCCGGCCAACAATAATACCAAGGCATCAATCAATAAAGGACATATTCCAATTTCAGAGATGTTAAAAATCAAGAAATCTGTCATAACTGGTGAAAATACAACATTAAGTTGTATCTCTATGAAAGATACTACAGTTGAGCCAATAATAATTAGAACTCACCACCTCCCTAAGTCAGAAGAAATAAGCCAGTGAAACATAAGCCCTTCTCTCATCATTTTAATACTAGAGGCCCAGTGCACGAAATTCATGCACAGGAGGGGGGTGACCCCTCAGTCCAGCCTGCACCCTCTCCAATCCAGGAACCCTCAGGGGATGTCCAACTGCTGGTTTAGGCCCCATCTGAAATGATGTTGCTATC